GAAATTCCTAAATGTCGTTAAAAATTTCAATAGTTTTAATATAAGATTATTTTTTCAAGTTGAAAATATACAGGGTTATCAGAAATGAATGACCTGATTACAAAATTTAATAATTCCCAGATGAGTAAACAGAAAAGGATCATTAATATGTCATTGTAAAGATAAAATATGAAATTTTGAGTTTGTAACATTGTTTTGTCAAAATGGGTATTGTAACAATGTTTATGTGTGCTACAGAATTCGAAATGGTGTCGCAGCGGGAGAAGGAACATTTGGTGTGACCTCGTTTGCAAAAAGTCTGTCAGTAATCATGGTTCAGCGTGAATTTCAGAGAAAGTACCGTAGAAATGCACCGCCGTTTAAGGTATCCGACTACGTTCGGAACCTGATTTAGCAAAAGCTTATAAATGGATAATATTTATGATATTTAGTGTCACTTAGATTAGAAAATGTATATAAAATTGTTTTAAGAATAGTATTACAATAAAAAATAGGTATTTAAGTACATTATTTTGAAAAATGAACATAGAATGATTTCAAACTATTCTCCTTTTTGTGAAAAATGCTTCTATTATAATAATATTTGCCTATATATAGCTCGAACACTCTGTACAGAGGCTCAACTAGAGGTACGAAATACATAACTTAGAATTAAGGTTTTATCCATGTTTTACAGCAACAGAGGGAAATTTTTAAAGAAAAACTCCGATCATTATTTCAAATATGGTTGTAACTCTGACAATAATGTGAATTTTTCAAAACTCATAGTTGAGGAGCCTCTGTACGAAGTCTGAGCTATATATACAGGCAAAATATTATTATAATAGAAGCCATTTTTCACAAAGAAGAGCATTTTGAAAAAAGGTTAATCTAAGTTAATTTTAGCCGAAATATTGTATTTAAATAAATTTTTTTAATCACCAAAACAATTTTATGCAACTAATCACAAGTGACGCAAATATCATAATTTATATCCATTTACATGCTGTTAAAATCAGGTTCGAACGTAGTCGGATACTACTAAATAAAGAAACTGGTATAAAAGTTCAGGAAACTGGATGCCTGAAAAGGAAAAAGTCCAGGGGGTGACCAGATCCGCAATGCTAATATATGGGTGACTAAAGGAAGTCACATTGAACATTTGTGAAAACAAATTTAACTTCACGTCCAGAAACGTTATTTCCGAAAAAAATTTCATATTTTACCTTTACAATGTCATCTTAATTATCATTTTCTGTTTATTCATCTGGGAATTATTAAATTTTGTAATCGGGTCTTTCATTTTTGATAACCCTGTACACTGTATTTCTCTGGACTAGAGATCTTTTTTTCTTCAGCACACCTTTGTTTTTCCTTACAGATTTCTTTTTCATGGGTAAGATGTATAAAATGAATAGATATTAATATTAAAAAAAAAGTGTCAATAATTACTTTTTTAAATAACATATTGTGTGTTTATGAATTTAAAATTCGTTATATGTGTGGTTTTTAAAATATATTAAAAGTATTTTTTCAACGAATTTTCCATATAACGAATTTTTTGGGGGGATTTAGTGACTTCGTTCAATAGAGGTCTGTATAATTCGGTTACAACATGTATAATTCCAATTGAAAACATAAAAAAATGTATGAATTAGTAGCTCTATTATAAATAATTTCTCTTACTAATACTGTAAGGTAGTAACAAAGAACTGAATACTTTTAAGGATGTTTTTGAAATTATGCTAATTAAAAAACTCGGAAAATCTATAAATAATTTTTAATTTTAGTGATGGTTTGTGTAAAAACGACGGGAGGGAGAGAATGGGGGAAAATTTAAAAATTCAGTTCAACGTAATTTTGGAATTTATTTTGCATGTGTGTGTGTGAAATGAAAGAGAGGTAATTTCACATGTTTCGTGGAAATAGACTAACTTGGTTTTGAAATACCCTTGGAAGAGCCTGTGACACGAACCAAGTTTGTTTATTAAAGCTATATACTTCTTAATTTCCTCTTTTTCTTTTTTTTTTTTTTTTTTCTATTTTAAAAGAATTTTTTTACTACCACAATGGTAGAGCTCAGGGAGAAAGAAAGCGGCTATTTCGCTTAAAATGAAGATGGAGCTTCTGAAGGTTCTTGATCAAAATCAGTAGACAAAAACGGAAATTTGTAAAGATTTTTGATATTGCTAAATTTTGTAATAAATATTATTAAATTCTTGTAAATGTTTTTGTTTCGTCGATTTTTTTAAAAAAATTAACATGCATATGTACATTTCTATATTAATAAAATGTACTCTAATAAACTTAATTTTGATGAATACATGTTTTTTTTTTCTTTTTGTTATTGTTGCAATATCCTTTAACACTAAATTCTTTTAACACGAAAAAATATTTCAGACCCTCAGTTTCGCGTTAAATGATTTTCACTGTAATCATATACACATACTGGCCGCCCGGAAGGTATAGTGGTTAGTGAGGCTGGCTGCTGTGTCGTAGGACCTGGGTTTGAATCCCGGAGAAGGCATGGATGTTTGTATTTGTATACTTTGTATCAGTAGCGCACACAGAAATTTTTCAAGGGGTCGGGGTAGAAAGTTCACCAATCTTGTATCAGACTCATACGATTTTGTCGATTTTCGAGAACAAAACGCAGTAAACTAATTATTGAATAAATAATTGGCATTGACTAATAAAATTAATCATTAATAACAAATACTTTGTGGGTACACGTACTATATACTTGGACCCACATAATCAATCGGAAAAAAATCAAGGGCCTTGGGGGGGTCCGGACTCAGGTTTAATAACCACTTGTTTGTATTCCTTTGTGGTATGGAAGCCTCTAAATAGTCGTAAAGCCGCAAGTCCTCTCGTGAGGTTGGAGGAAGGGGAAGAGAAGTGGGGGCCACTCAAAATTGGGGTGGAACCAAGCCAAATCGTTCTGGCACCTGCATGATATTCAAAGCTGCGGTTAACGACAGGGAAAAACTAACCCCTTGCCACGATGAATTTCGTGGGGCCTTGATCTGACACTGCCTATCAGGTGGCATTAGTAACAACAGTTACAAACATACAAAAGGAGATTCGGTAAGAATTTCTCTCATTTAATGCTACAATAACGTGCTATTCATTTCACCACCTAGATATATTTTTAAAGTTTGTAGCACAATTTCAAGTTACTTTTTTCTTTCTTTTGTGAAACCTTTTCCATGCTTGATGTCATTAATCGCACTATATAACCATTCTGTCCACTTTTACCACAAATCTTTTCGGCTCTCTTTTTTTTACTGCCACTAATAATAGAAATTAACGTCTCACACACATAAAAAAAAGCAGAAAACTATACCCATCTTTCATCGCTTAACTGTCACTTCACAAATCACGTAACTCCCGTTCGTCCACCTGCCCCTCAAAAATGGGACACTAGTTTTCCAAAAGAAAGGGTACCCGATAACTATTTTGAGCCGTAACACCGCCCTTTCCGTTCGCCCCGCCTTCTTCCTTCCGCGAGTGGACGAGGCACTCTAGCCCCGACTCCTCATTGGCCGGCCGACACCGCGAATGTGCGACGGAGTATCGCCCCTTTTGCCCGAGGCCCCCGGCGTACGGTTAATTGTGGTTAAAAAGCGAAACTGCCTGAGGCGTAGGAAAGCACGCGGACGCACGTCAGAGGTAAGTTTCTCTTGCATTTTTTTTATTCATTTCCGTTCAAGTTCCATAATTGGTGTTATTAGTTTTTGTAGTCAGTGTATTTGTTCGTTTTTTAACTCGCGTGTGAGTTAAAAAACGTTCGTTAGAAAGCTGTAAAACCGGAAACAAATTTCTATTCTCCCCCCTTAAGCTTTTTGGCTCACAAAGTGGAAACTAGCAAAACTATACCACGCTACCAGGATCGTAGCTATCGCCGTATCAATGATGCGGGGCTTCCAAGTTTCAGAGGCCCCAAAATGTGCAATAATAAATCATAAAATGTTAAGAACCCTCCTAAAAGGGCCCCCAAGAAATTTTGATACGGGGCCCACTCAGGACTAGCTACGCCAAAAGAACTAGCTACCCTTCCCAAAAGTGCTTTGCTACTTTTACTTTTTAAAAAAAATCACCTCATCATCAAGCTTAATTTTTGAAAAATCGCCTTTAGAATTAAGATTTAAGCCATCTAAAAAGAATATAAAGTATAAATAGAACTTTCTTTTGTTCAAATATTTTTAGTGGCTACGATGTCCTAGTGGTCATGGTCACTGACCAGCGGCCAGTGTCTGATGGGTTGGAGTCTTTGTGCTACTAAGATAGCTGTGTAGAGATGTTGCTAAACGTTAAATCAATTCGAAGCTCAAAGCCAACCCGTTGGCGTGGTGTGGTAGTTTGAAGAGGAGGTGCCTGTTCAGAAGTCGTCTTCGTCAAGGCTCAAAATTATGAGGTCCGTCGCCGATATAGCCTTCAAATTGCTTTGGAGTGACTTAAATAAACATTCATTCAAACATTTTTTAAAATACCAAATAAAACTGGTAATATATATATAAAAAAAATTTTAAGTCAATTCCTACTTATGTCAATAAAGAAAATTTTTATTTTAGTTACTTTTTATTAGATAATTACACTTAATATAAATATGCTTATACATATGACACAGAATCACAATATTAAGAAGCAAAATAGAAAGCGACTTTCCTTGCAATTTTCCCATTTTCCTTTCTATACATGCTGTTGGACTATTATTTTTGTTTGTTACTCTATTTATTCATTAATTACATTTAATAATCTTAACAATATAGTACAGTAAAAAAGAAATCACATTCTCAGAAGTTAGACCATCCCAGAAGGGATTCGAATTCACGACCTTTGGATTAGAAGTTCAACGGACTATCCATTGCTCTACAGGGACACAAAGAACGGTTTTCCTTTCTATATATGCTGCTGGACTATTAATTTTGTTTGTTACTATTTGTTCATTAATTACATTTAATTATTCTAATAAAATAGTATAGTAAAAAAAGAAATCACAATTTCAGATGTTAGGCAATCCCAGGTGGGATTCGAACCCATATCCTTTAGATTAGAAGTCCAACGTGCTATCCATGCACTACAGGGACACGAAGAAAGATTTTCCTTTCTATATATGCTGTTGGACTATTATTTTTGTTTGTTACTATTTATTCATTTTTTAATATGATTAATGGATTAAAATATTTGAAAAAACTGTATTAACATCAAGTGTCATCCACTACTAGCTTAAAAAAATGTATTTGAAGTTGAGTGGAGGAATAAAAAGTATTTTATTAACGATTGAAAATTTGAGCAAGATATATATATATATATATATTTATATACTACTATCTTGACTGGCTATACTTAGGTTTTTAACTATTTGTATATATTTATGGATTTTATGTATATATATATAAGGAGAGAATGAACTAATAGAGTAAAAATTGAAAAAAGGGAAGTTTTTGTGCTAAAATCGAGCAAAAACTTGGACTACATCTTCAAAGTACTATAATTTATAAAACAGTAATAAGATCAGTACTTAAAGACATTTGTGTATGCGTAATAGCAATAATTTTCTGTTTGAGTGAAGTTAAATAAGTCATATTTATAAAAGAATCCAAATTAAATGCAATACTTCCTACATTTCAAGTCTATATAAATATAGATTGCCGGAATGGTCAATGTTGCGAACGTATGGTCAGCGTTATTTCTGATCAAAGAACAGTTGAAAAACGTCACTTTCGAAGTCAAATATAAGATATGTAATAGGACCTCCATTTTACAAACGTCTATTTTGCGAATTTTTGAATTTTGTGAACTTTTCCTGAAACTAAACTCAAACTCAGTGGCGCAACAGCTCATGAGGGCTAGGGCCTACTGTGCCTAACCCACTATACGTGACCATTGGTCGCTGAGGTGTATGAGAAGATGTCCCGATCAGGTGGTCTTGTCTGAAGCGAGACCCCCAGTGTTTAAGTCCCCAAGCACAAGCTTGGTACTTACTCATTTATCGAACCACTGCATTAGGGATGAAAGCCTGAGTTGACTTTGCCTAGCCTGGGAATAGAACCCAGACCTGTGGTGTGGAAGCACGGCACGCTACCACTCCACCACTGGGCCCTCCCTGAAACTAAACACTTTAATTATTTTCTTCGTAAAATAACCTCCAAATAGCGAATTGCATTTTCTGTTTGACGATCTTTTACTTTTATGATTCGATTTTTTTTACTCCCTAATCTTTAAATATTTTTGGATATTTCAAATTATTCTTTCTTTTAACACATTTTTGGTGCTCAATGACCTTGAACTGGTTTTACCAGGTGCTTAACACACCTAGAGCAATAAAATATTGCCCTTGTTTTTCACACAATAAGGTCAAATAAAATTAACAGATTTTACCATTACATTTTACTGACAGTAAATGTGAAGACGCATGTGGTAGTGCATGCTTGAAATTACTGGTTATAAAAATGACGTATGTTTAAAATTACTTGTGGGCTTAAAATTAGAAAACAACATTAAAATATCATCGATTTTAATATAAAATTATTTTTGTTGAAAATAGTGTATTCCAGGACAATGCCTTTTTATTCTTCTTATTTTCCTTGTTTCATGGGTAAAATGTATAAAATAAATGGATATTTTAATTTATAAAATGTGTGAATAACTACGTTTTAAAAAATATAAAGAGTTTATAAATTTCAAAGTTGTTTTATGTGGTTTCTAAAATTTATTAAAAGATGAATCTATTCCACACAACGATTTATTTATTTATTTTCGCGATTTGGCGACTTTATTAAATATAGGTCCGGCTATATTTTAAAATTCCTTATTTTTGACAGTAAAAATAACTTATTTTTAAAAGTTTATTGAAATAAAAATAAAATATATTTTAAAAACAAATGAAATTTTTTTACATTAAATAGTAAAAATGTTTAAATATCTAAAATTAAAATTTGAATAGATATTAAATCGGTTTTTTTTTTAAATCCTAAAACTAAACAACCAAAGGAACTCTGAGGTTTTTCTTTTATTTTTGAAAGTTTTAATTAATATTTTTATATATGTAGTTCACATATTGTTAACCGGCTATTTTTCTCAGATACTATCTTACTGTCAATGATTTCGTAATTAAATATGAAATAGACAGAGAGTCTAAATGAACTTTAATAAACTTCTTTTATATATATATTGAATTAATATGAAGCTTTGTGAACATATCTTTTATAAAAATTGTAATGTTCTTTTTAGTATGACACAAAACCATCTACGTCATGGGTGGGCAAATAGCGGCAAACGAAGAGCTTTTTTTGCCACCCGACCTGGCAGTCGGAAAACCAGACAGTAATTATTCTCTATATTTGGTCCATCATATATTTCTGGGCAAAGTTTTCTAACATGAAGATCAACAAGAGTAAATATAGATACAAATTGGCTGATATTAACTGGGAGGCTGTGATGAGAGTTTCAACAAGCAGCCTCACTCCTGATTTTAAAAATAAAAATTGCAGAAAAAAGTATAAGGTACATTTATTATTAAGAACATTTATAACGCTGCGCACCTCAAAGTATCACTCGGAGGCTTACATAGAAGTAAGCGTGAAGCACACATCACAAAGAAGAAAAGGATTACAACACAAACATCCATGTCTTACCCGGGATTCAAACCCAGACCCTACGGCACCCCAGTCAGCGTCACTAACCACTATACCGGATGGGCGACTATAGGGTACATTTGTCTCGTTAAACTGATTCTAAAATTAAATGGGCTTGCAGCTATTGATATGAAATTAGCACAGTAAATAAATCAAATAAAACTACCACTATTTTATTTAAATTATAATGATTTTTCAATTCCCCCCAATTATTAGTTTACCCTCTCCCTATATATATATATATATCTTGTTCAAATTTTCAATTGCTAATAAAATGCTTTCTATTCATCCTTTCAAGTTCAAATACATTTTTTAAAACTTGTATATAGTAGACTTCAAATATTTTCATTAACTCTATTTAATTAATGAATAAAAATAGTAGCAAACAAAAATAATAGTCCAACACCGTATAAAAAGGAAAATTGCTCGTTGTGTAGCGCAATGGACTTCTAATCCAAAGGTCATGGGTTCGAATCCCACCTGGGATGGCCTAATTTCTGAGAATTTGTTTTCTTTTTACTAAGCTACTTTATTGGAATAATTAAATTTAATTAATGAATAAATAGTGATAAACAAAAATAATAGTCCAACAGCCTATATAGAAAGGAAAATGGAAAATTGCAAGGAAAATCGCTTTCTGTTTTGGCACTTAATAGTGTGATTCTGTTATATGTATATACATATTTATATTAAGTATAGTTATTTAATAAAAAGTAACTAAAATAAAAATTTTCTTTGATGACCTAAGTAGGCATTGACTTAAAAATTTGTTTGTTATTTTACTTGTTTTTCAGTAAGACCAATATATATATTTTTTTATTTTACTTGTTTTATATGGTACAATTTATATCTTTTCTGAGATGCAAAATTAAAAAATGAATGCAATCATTTTTTTTAAAAAATGGGGCTTTCTGGTTGCCTCCGCTTCCACAATGTGGGCATCCAGCCAAAACAACTGCCTACCCCTTACTTAGGTGTAACGATACCCAACATTTTGTAAATATATCTCGCGTGCTGAGTTTCATAAATTGAAACTGATTACTCAAGTGCCGACTCGAAAAGACTCGTAACCAGTGAACAACGTTTGGTTTACACACGTTGGTTGAAAACACGAGTTTATGACCGGTCAGCAATGTGTTGATTTGACTCTCGAAAATCGATTTAATATTAAATACATGTCCCGTGTCTTACTTAAATCATTCACTTTTTGGTAATTGCATAATTTGAGTAAAATTTAAAGTTTTTTTTTTTTTTTGGTTTTAATTTTATTGAAAATTAGAGAATCGGCTTCACTTCCAGTTTTGTTTCTTTTAAACAAAAATTTAAAATCTCTCTCTCTCTTTCTCTGTAAATTGATAAATAGTTCGTAATAAATAATCATAACAAGTCTTTCACACAATAATAAACACAAATCTCAGCATCATTAATCTAATTGAATACTCTAACAATTTTATATAGTGTAAAAAGATACTTTCTCACGAGACTATCTTTTAAAAAATAAATAAGAATATACTTATCTGTCAGAATTAAAGAGGATATAGTACATCTACTAATGAAGACATTCCAAATATTTACCTTAAAAAAACCATTAGAGTCCTTCTTCTAAGGCAGGGATTGGCAAACCATGGCGCTATGAGGCTGTTTGCATAGAAAGGTTGTAGCTCTTCAGTCTTCTATATCTCTCTATGAATTATTAAAAAAAAAACTATGCTTTACTATAAATATTGTTTTCCTTTATAATCATTTAGTGAAAAAATTACATATTTAATGAAATATAATTATGCTTCAAACCAGTAATTCTCAAACACTGAGCCACGACACTTTTAAGCACCGCCATATTTTTAAAAATATATTAATTATACTCTGAGAAAAAAAAACTGGTACCGAATCATTCGGCCATCTTATAGAAATAAGCTAAGAATATTTGATGGTATATTTAACTTACCCTTTTGTGGGTAAATGGATATGAAAAAAATTTGACTTCGGTTAGAGTAATCCATTTGTGATAACGGATACATCAGTATATGAATCAAGAGGAAAAACTGACATCGCTCTGTAATAATCGAAACTTAATTTCAAAACATTCGGAAGAGTCAATTAATTCATTTTGGATTAAAATTAGAGGCAAAAAAAAAAAAGAAAAAAAAAAAAACTAGAAAATATTGTTACAGTTTTCTACATTTTATTTGTGTAAATTCGGATTTTCAGCATTAACAAATATAAACATGATAAAAAAACTCGAGACTTAAATGTAGATGATGAAATGAGAGTAGCATTATCATTTTTAAGTCCAAACATAAACGAAGTTATCAAAAATCATCCAGCTCAAATTTCGCTTTAAATGTATTCTTATAATTAATTTGTAATGAATTACTTAAAAAACATTTTGTTGTCTTTGTCGTACATATTATTTTATTGAACATTGAAAATTATTATCATAAATTATTTTA